AAATGTTTTCAAACGTCTCAGCCAGGCAGCCACTACCGCTCCTGATCCCGATGCTTGCAGACGATACCGCTTGGTCACCCCTCCTGGCACTACAGCACATCCAGCAGGTAACTCCTCCCCGGCGATCCAACATCGATCGTGCAGAATTGGAGGGGCCAAAAGCAAGCCGTAGAATTTGAATTTTGGACCTTTTTAATTTTTTCTTCTGTATTTTGATATTTTTGTTCAGTACAATTAAAAATTAACATTTTATATTGTTCTTGAATTGGCGTGATGTGAATATATATGTATATATTCAAATTTTCACAGGTGCGAAAAAAATTAATGGTTTCCATAAATAATATTAATTTTTTTTTAATTTTTTTAATTTCCAAAACCGATTTTGCCTACCAAAAATTAAATTTTAAATTTACAATTTGCGACCGAATTTTAAAAATTGCGACAGATTTTTTTTTGCGACCAAATTTGCGACAGAGTTTCAAATATGAAACACGACCAAAATCGACCAATTTATTCAATTTTGTTTACCGATTTATCGGTTCGTAATTTTGCGAACCGACGAAAACATCCGGTCGCAAAACATCCTTTGCGACGAGCGAATTTGCGACCGATATCTAATCGGTCTCAAGATCGGTCGGCTAAGTGAAATTAGCGATCGTTTTGGCATTCTGCGACCCGATTGGTCGGTCGCAAAATGGTGTTTTTTTTTGTAGTGAATACAACAATCACTTTAATTTAAAACTATACGCCTGAATTAAAATCAAAGATTTAAGTGAATTTTCAAAGTGAAACACAGCCTCAAATTAAATATAGTTCAAAATTTAATTAGTTCAAATCGGTTTTACATGCACTTTAGGTTGTTCAATTTAAGCCTTTCACTAAAAAAAAACCGAATAAAAAAAATTCAATTTATCTGTGCAACTAAAATCAACCTAAATCAACTTTTACCTGATATTTTAATATCCTTAAATTAGAAAAATATCCCTAAAATTACAAGGGATATAATTTAAGTTCTCTTTTGTTGAAGAAAGTCTTAAGACCATTAATTTAATATTAATATTTAATTAATTAATCTAATAATAAATATTTTTGAACAATATTGAAATGACTTCCAACTAACTATAGGAATGACAAAGTATATTGTAAGAATTCTTTTTCTTAACTTACCATTCTCTTCTCTCTCTTATTCTTTAGTTATTCGATATGGGATAATGGTTTAAATGGTGTGTGTGTGTATATTTCACGCAATATATTCAAGGGAGATTAAAAGAAATATCAAATTTCACATAAACTATTAAAATCAATTACAATATTATTATTCTTATTATTGTATAGATGCATAATCCAATTATTTCTAAGAGTAATTATAAAAAGAAAAAATATCAACATATCTTTTTTTATAAATAAAAACTATTAGGTAACTATTTTTTTATCTTAGATAATCGTCTATAAGAAAAAGAAAAGTGAAGAAAAAAAATTAAAATTGTAAAATTATTCTTATAACTACAGCACTTTATCATTTATTATTTTTTTCCATAGAAAGAAACTACCAAAAAAAAAAAAAAAAATTAAATGCGAATAATTTAATGTGTAACATAATTTCAAAAAATTTTATATTTAGGAAACTTATTCCTACTTGAAATTTATTTTTAAAAAAATATATCAATCAAATCATACAAACATAAAGAAAAAGAGTATTAAATAAAAAATACATTTTTCTATGTTTATCTCTCTCCTAAAAAAATTGGTAACACCCTTCCCGGTCCACCCGTTAACTCCGAATAAACCGAGTCGAGAAATGCTACAACACTGGTTGAACTGTATGATTTAAGAACATGCCTGAATATCATCATACTGAATAATTTTATATATATATCTACAGATGAAGTTTACATTACTAGTGTACCTGAAAATATTTATATATATTATAAGTGTTCAAAATGAAGATGGCCCAACTGTGGTGCCCTGACATGCCATGAAAGAATAATAAAAAAGATACATATCAAAATAGGGAGCTACCCTGAAGACCGTGTCCCTTCTACAGATGAACTGCTGGCATGTTTGTACACTGTCGCTCTATAGACCAGTTCAAAACCTGCGAGTTAAACAGGTAACTCGCTGAGGGCTAATTACACGCTCAGTGGATATCTCAATATAGAAAGACAATAATTAAGCACACATATATGCAGAAGAATTATGTAAGTACATATATCACACATAACATATCGGATTTCATTCACATTGAATGATCTTTCTTAAAACTGTTTATTTTACTGTTCTGATTCGAGCAATAGCAAAAGTTAAAAATATCTGTATGGCTCCCATAAGGTTATAGTGAAACCGAGTGATAAGATAAACTGTATGAAACTGGATAAATTGTATGCTCCATAGGCCCGAACCGTGATTCGGCCTTATGCCAATATTGTCCGTTTTGGTGCCCCTAACCGGATTTGCACCGCACGGCTTTAATGCATATCTACTCAACGGCCTGTAGCCGGAGTTCGCAAACTGTATGGGGCGCAGATCTGCTATTCTATGTCGCGACATAGCCTTATCTACATGTTTCTACCTAAACCTCAATGGAGCTTATAAGATTAGGATGTCAACATGTACACAATAGCACAATAAATGGTTTCACAACGTCATAGTTTCAATCATATTAATTTGATTTCACAACAAATATAAATGCTTACATTTGTTAATCCATGTTCTTAATTAATTTTGTTTTACAATGAATTGGATGCATGCATGTTGAAAGGCAAAGGAATGTTTGTAAAGAAAATGAAGTCAAAATGCATGAAAAAACACAAAGTCCGGAAGGCGCAGGAACAAGTCCGCGAGCGCGAGATGCTTCCAACGGGAGAAGTAGCGAGCGCGTCTTTCAACCTCGCGAGCGCGAGAAGTGCAATCGAGAGTCAGAGAGGTTTTTCTGGCTTCAAGTCGCCGACCGCGCAGAGCACAAGTTGCGAGCGCGAGATGAAGTCGCGAGCGCGCTTGGTGGAGTTCGCGAGCGGAAAATGTGCCATTTGAGAGTCGAGAGTTTTTTGGCCAAAGTCGCGACCCGCGCATGTGCAAGTCGCGAAGCCGGCGACTTGCTTTCCAGACCGCGCGGGCGGCGCGAACGTGTTTCCAGATTGTGCAGTCTGTGTTCTTTTGGCCATAACTCTCCCAAATATACAACTTCAACTTGAGTGATTCATAAAGCCCACATAAGATAACACATAGAGGAACAACATAACTCTTCATGACAATTCCTAGTTCCATCATCTTACTGGGTCAAAATCAAGATGAAGTTGCTGGTATTTCCAGCAAACCTCTGGTTCATAAACTCATTCCATGCCCCTGTTTTCACATCAAATTTTTCAATCCTCCTCACTCCATAATTAAGCAACATATGAATCTCATGAGCAACACTCCACACAATCTTTCATCAAAGACAGGAAAAAACAAGAGATATCAAACCTGTCTTGCCACATAAAGCTGGGGCCTCTTGTTTTAAGCTTCTCTTTTTCTGCAACTTTTTGAACTTTCTTCTCCTAATACACAGACATTCTCATAACTCATCTCCAATATAACTCAATTAAAAGAGTGAATAACCATATAACTTCAAGGAAATTCTAACTTACTTGGAGTGGAACGTTACTGCGTACGTGCATGAGAAGTGGCAAGGAAATGGAAGGGAAACCGTAAGAAAAAATGAAAAACGTGAAAAATAGGAAAGTGAAAATGATTGGAACGGGTAGACTCTAGAAAGAAGTGATTTGGCTTGTAGTAACTCTCTAATTGGTACCCTCAGTATACAAGGTACCAACTGTACTAACCCAAGCTATATTGTTTGGAGGCAAAACAAGTCCTAAACTTTCCATGCAAATAAGGTCCCAACTTAATCATCCATTCTACCCAACCAGGTTTGGTTCAACCGCGACTCAACCAAGAGGATGTTACAGTTCTCCCCTTCCTAAAATAAAACTTCGTCCCGAAGTTTACCTGTTGTAAACAAATGCGGATATTGTTGTCCGCATGGTTTCTTCTGCTTCCCAAGTTGGCTTCTCTGTCTTATGATTCCTCAAAGAACTTTCAGCCATGTAATTATTCTTGTTCCGCAATTCTTTAGTTTCTTTGGCTAGGATCCTGAACTGGTTCTTCTTCATACGTGAATCCGGCTGAATTTTCAATCTCGTGCTGCTGATAACACATGTGAGGGCGTCTGATCTGTATCTTCTCACATGGATACATGAAATACATTATGGATTCGATCTAAAGGTTGGAGGTAATGCTAGGCGATAGGCTAATGGTCCTACGCGTTTCAACAATCTCGTATGGACCAAGAACCTAGGACTTAAGCTTACCCTTTTGTCAAACCTTAGGATCTTCTTCATGGTGAAACCTTTCAAAAATACTTTATCCACCAATCTGAATACTCAATGTCTTTTCTCTTTAAATCCGCATAAGGATTTCCTGTCGATCACTTGCTTCCTTCAGCCGTCTTCTGATGATTTCTACTTTCTCTTCCGTTTTCTCTAACCAAATCTGGACCCCAAATCTTCTTTCCTAAGTTCTGTCCAACACACAGGGTGTTTCTGCATCTTCTACCATACAATGGCTCCATAGGGTGCCAAATCTTGATGCTCGCTTGATAAGCTGTTGTTGTAGGAAACTTCCATGAGAGATTACATATTTGTCCCAACTGCCTTAAATTCAATAAAACACATGATGCTCAACATTGTCTTCAGATTTGAATCACTCTCTCTGATTGCCCATCTGTCTGCGGATGAAAAATGCAGTGCTGAAATGCAGTTTCGTTCCTAAATGCCTCTGAAGTTTACCCCCAGAACTTCGATGTAAACCTTGGATCAAACGATCAGAGATAATGGATGATGGAACTTCCATGTAGTCGAAACTATCTCACTAACCATAAATTTCTGTCTAACTTGTCCAGAGAATAGTCCGTCTTACTGGTAGGAAATGGAAGCAGACTTGGTTAATCTGTCCACAATTACCCATACTTGCATCATGCTTACGCTGTGTTCCTGAGGTAAGCCAGTAACAAGTCCATCGTGGATTCTGATCCCATTTTCCATGTTGGCACTATTATGGGATGAAGTAACCCGGATGGCAGTTGATGTTCTGGCTTTTACTTGTTGACATGTTAAACATCTTGTTACAGACATCTCCGATGTCCCTCTATCTTTCATGCCTGGCCAACCAGTAAGCCTTTTCTTCAAATCTTTGATACATCTTGGTGCTCTGGATGCAATTGTATATGGACGTTTATGAAAAGCTTCATACAGAATCTTTTGTCTGCCTCCCTGTCTGTGGTACAAACAATTCTATCTGCATAAAACAAAAACTCCATTGCTATCTTCAATTTAAATTTTCCGCACCAATAATCTGCCTGGACTTGTTTAACCCATAGGGCTATTTTGTGCATCTTTCTTCTGTGCTTCTGCAACTTCCTGAAGCCAAGATGGTTGTACTTGCATCTGTGCGAGAATTAGCTCCTTGCTGTTGTAACTCCATACTAATTTCTCATTAAGCTCAAAGCATACAGGATTTCCGGCTAAGGGCATCCGGCTACCGACAATTAGCCTGGCCCGGATGATAATTAATGACATAATCAATAATTAGCCAGAATCTGCTCCACTTTCCGTTGTCATTGAATTCAAGTCCTTCTGTGTTGGTAAGTACCTTTAAACTCTGATGATCTGTGTAAATGTAAACTTTTCACCAATACAGATAATGCGCCCCATACTTTGAAATGCTAGAACATGGCTGCCAGTTCTAAATCATTGGTTTGGATAATTCAACTCATGTGGTTTCAAATTGTCTTGGAGACATAGGCGAACCACTTTCTTATCTTGCATGAGTACACATCCCACCCAGTATGAGAGGCATCAACTGGTAAAATCTCAAGCCCTTTACCTGAACTCTCGGGGCTGAGTTAACAACTGGTGCTTCTAGTCAACCTTCTCTTCAAAGTGTAACTCTGCTGACATCTAGCATCCCAAGTTGAAATACAACCTCTTTTTTTTCAATAGTCTTGTTAAAGGTGATGCAATGAATGGAGAAATCCTTTTACAAACTTCTGTAATAACCGGCTAACCCAGAAACTTCGAACTTCTGTGACATTTCCTGGGTGGTCTCCATCAAACAATAATTTTCAATCTTCCCTTAGGATTCCACTCTGAATACCCTCCGATGACACCCAACATGTCCTAAGAATAGAAACTTCTTGACACCTTTCGGCTTCCTGTAGCCCACTAATCTGCTTTACCATACCTGCTGAGTCCTAGTTAAATTCTCTTTCGTATTCAGCTACAGACATTCTGTTCTGTCGCAGTTAAGAATTCTTTCCTTCTCGCATCTAGGTAAGCCTCGGTAATGAACTTCTTCTTGAATTCATCCAAGGAAGAATTGCCAAGTACGGCTGATTGCTGTTACTCCTGTTGCAACAGTGGTCCCATGTAATATGCTCTCCTCTATAGCAATGAGAGTGGCAAATCAACTTGTCTTCGGCTGTACACTGCATTGTTCTAGACTCTCGATGTCCATCTAGCCAATACTCACTACTTCGGGACTATCATCTTTGCTCGCTTTGATTCCTTTGCACCTATTTTCTAAGCTTCTCCAATGGGGGTTTTTCTCTCTCTTTTACTATTACGGGTGCTTGAGGCATCACCCCTGCAATCTGTCGAAAAGTGTCTGCAAGTTGCTTTAACAGCACCTCTTGACCTAGTGCTCTTGAAAAGCCCTCAACCCTCCCAACTGTTCTAGCTTGACCTGGTGCTGCTGGAGCTCACCCTCCACTGCTCTGGAGGCGTGTGACTCACTTTCACGCTTCCTGAGACAATCCTCCTAAAGAATAACAACTGCTTAGTTCATCAGGGTAGTCATGGCCAATGTACATATACTGACTTATGCATTCACAGCCCGGGGAAAATTAAACCGAGGCTCTCTGAACCTAAAATTTGTAACACCCCTTCCCGGTCCACCCGTTAACCGAATGAAACCGAGTTCGAGATGGCTACAACACTGGTTGACTGTATGATTAGAAGATGCTTGATATCATCAAATAGCTAGAATATTTATATATATATCTACAGATTTGAAGTTAGCATTAACTAGTGTAATTGAAATATTTATATATATTATACAAGTGTTCAAAAAATGAGATGGCCCAAACTGTGTGCCCTGACATGCCATAAAGAATAATAAAAGATACATATCAAAATAAGGGAGCTACCCTGAGACTGTGTCTTTCTACAGAAATGAACTGCTGCAGTTGTAGCACTGTCGCCTTAGAACCAGTTCTCAAAACCTGCGAGTTTAAACAGGTACTCGCTGAGCTAATACAGCTCAGTGGATATCTCAATATAGAAAGACCATAATAAGCACACATATAGCGAGAATTATGTAAGCTACATATAATCACACCCTAACATAACGGCTTTCATTTCACATTAATGATCTTTCTTACTGTTTATTTTACTGTCTGATTCGAGCAATAGCAAAGTAAATATATTGTATGGCCTTCCATAAGGGTTATAGTGAAACCGAAGTGATAAGATAAACTGTATGAAACTGGATGAAATTGTATGCTATAGGCCGAACACGGATTCGCCTATGGCAACTATTGTCGTTTTGGTGCCCCTAACCGGATTTGCACCGACGGTTTAATCATATCTAGCTCAAGGCCTGTAGCCGGAGTTCCAAACTGTATGGGGCGCAGATCTGCTATTCTATGTCGCGACATAGCCTTCTACATGGTTTCTTACCTAACCTCAATGGAGCTTAAGATTAGCAATGTCAACAATGTAACACAATAGCACATAAATGGTTTCCAAATGTCAAATAGTTCATCATATTAATTTGGATTTCACAACCATATAAATGCTTAACATGTTGTTTTAATCCATGTTCTTAATATTATATTTTTGGTTTTAACCATGATTGGATGCAATGCATGTTGAGCAAAGGAATGTAATTGTATAGAAAATGAAGTCCAAAATGCATGAAAACACAAGTCGTAGAGCGCGCAGGAACAAAGTCGCGAGCGCGAGATGCCTTCCCAGGGAGAAGTCCGCGAGCGCGTCTTCAAACCTCGGCGAGCGCGAGAAGTGCAATTCGAGAGTCAGAAGAGGTTTCTCTAGCTCAAGTTCCGGACCGCGCAGCACAAGTTGCGAGCGCGAGATGAAAGTCGCGAGCTGCGCTTGTGGAGTTCGGCGAGCAGCGAAATGGTGCCATTTGAGAGTAGAGGTTTTTGGCCAAGTCGCGACCGCGCTGTGCAAGTCGCGAGCGCGACTTGCTTTCCAGACCGCGCGAAACGTGTTTCCAGATTGTTGCAGTCTGTGTTCTTTTGGCCATAACTCTCATATACAAGTTCAACTTGAAGTGATTCAAAAGCCCCAACGTAAAGATAACACAATGAGGAACAAATAACTCTTCTATGACAATATTCCTAGTTCCATCATTTACTGGGGGTTCAAATCAGATGAAGTTGGCTGGTAAAATTTCCAGCAAACTCTGGTTCAATAACTCCATTCCACTCCCCTGTTTTCAACATCATTTTTCAATTCCTCTCACTCCACAAATAAGCAACATATGACTCATGAGCAAACACCACACAATTTTTCATGCAAAGAACATGGGAAAATAAAAACAAGAGATATTTCAAACCTGTCTTGCCACAAGCCTGGGGCTCTGTTTTAGCTTCTCTTTTTCCTGGCAACTTTTGAACTTTCCTTCTCCTA